CAAATTGAAGCTTTTCCGGAGTGAATGTCGGGAAGCTGCCGAATACCAAGGGAGACCTCCTCAGACTTTCAAAGAGCGAGTCGTACACACTTGGAATTTCTTGCGAGACAAATTCGATCTGACTGGAGATTGGTTCTGGTACGGCTACTCCGGTCTCCGCATTCTCGACGTTGTACTGCAAACTATCCACCTCGTCGAACTCGGCGGCCGATCCCTTACAAGAGAGGAAATTTATGCGAGTGAACGTATAGCTATCGTGACTCAGGCAACTCTAATTATGTTGGTATTCGTTGTTGGTCCGATCACGATTATACTCAACAACCGAGTCTGGGCTGCTCTCTTTGATGCCATCACGGCCTTCAGCTTCACGGCTGCTTATCTTATCATATCTGGTCACATACTTCTACCCGGTACTTGGCCAGCCTTGCACTTCCAAACCTTCATCTCTTTTCTGTCGACCATTTTACCAGCCGCACTGTCACTAGATAACATGATAGGCGTAGATCGCTACTTGCTTGAGATCGCCAAGAATCCCGAGCTAACCCGTGTCCAGAGGCGCACATCTCTCCGTTACTATGTTATCGCTCTCATCTCGTGGACCATTGGTATCAGTGGCTTCGTCTATGTGGCGATAACACAGTTCAAAGGTAACTGTAACGAGCTCATCCCCAACTTCGACTCTGAGTGTCTGGTTCCTGTATATCCAATCCTAGATTCCCAATCTTGTGATTGTCGGATGGCAATCATAACTGTTCAGGGAAACTGCGTCCAGGATGACCAGAAACGTTTGTCATTATACAACAGGATAGAGTACTTGGTTATAGCGGATCGTGATCCGACTCCGTCCGCCACGTGCACGAATGAACCCCAGGTTCTTCTTGATACACTGTCGACGTTCAAGGAGCTTGTTGTTGTGGGTTTGTTAGCTCTGCCAATTGTAACGCTAAACGTGACAACACTGGGCTCTTTACAGATCCTTGGAGCCACTGCGACGCACCTGACCACAGTCCCCGATGATGTGCATCTACGATTTCCCTCCATCCGGTCCTTCCAGTTCGAGCTCTCCCGAATAGAAGAACTACCGTTCGATTCACTCCGACAATTGCGATACCTCGAGTATATTGGTTTGGCTGGGAACCCTATCTGTCATGGAACAGATTTTCCTGAATGGACGAACGGAATCGTGGATTGTGGCTTGGAAGAAAGTGAACCCTGTGATGTTGATGACCCCCTTGTGGGTATAGCCGAAACGCTTACTGGTTATTGCCACAAATGGGTCGCTCGCGGCTCCCCAAAGCAATGTCTACCGCTCTGCACCGGCACCTTCACAACTTACTCGGCAGCGGACATCGACGCCAGTAACACAATAAGCGTCGAGGAAAACACAGCACTCCTACAGATGTTCGAAGTGATCCCTGATGGAACGACAGTAACTACTGCTCTCCACCACTGTGTCATGAAAGCTTGCGGCCAAGAACCTTCCGACGAGCTACCATTTCCTATTCAATCGACTGTAAGTATGATGTGGATTCATCATCCTAGCTCGTTGGCCTAGATGCTCGCGGATTAACGGCTGAAGTGGCATTAGTTGGGATTTTCTTGGTTGGTCTTGTTCATGTTAGACTCATGCCTTTTCCTCCTCAGTTGTTCCTCTTCGGCGAGTCCAACTGCGAAGAATGCGAATTCTGATGCAACATGCCTCCGTAGACATACTTACCCGTGTTGTCAATCACGTTGTTGTTCATTCACCATTGCTCGTCGGCAATAGCGTTTGGCTCCAGTAGACGTCCAATGAACAATACCATGATGGTTGCATTCAACAGATGATACCTTCCAAAGGCATCTCACGAGCCCATTTGCGATTGAAAGGGGAAGTTCCTCTTCCAACCGCGAACGGGAATGTTCAACATTGCGCCTATCATTCACTTTTCCTTCTGAGATGATGAGGGCAACGGACTACTACGTTATGTCACTACTGATCATGCTGCAATGACACAGAACAACTGCTCTGTATGTCAGGGCACATGCTCTGCTCTGCATCAAGTGCAAAAACTGGGGAAAATGCAGTACATTTTTTCTGGTGCAAGATTGACTATGACAATCCAAGTTCGTTATCACCAGATTGACCTGTTGAAACCAAGATTGACAGTGAAGACCTAAGTTTGACAGAGCCAAGTATGTATTACGGAATTTGACAATATTTCAAACAAGTTCAACAATACGCAATTAAATAACTTGGTCCAGGTTTGACAGCTCAGAAAGTGCTCTTATGCGAGTCGCAAGCTCATAGTATGAGCTTGCGACTCGAGCAGCTTGACTTGAGCCTCACACAGGGAATCTCAATCATTTACTCATTCCATGACTGATAGTGATCGAGTCGATGACGTCGACTTTACGGCATTAGTCGACGTCGTCGACTCGTCACGACTCGTCTGTGTCATGTGAGTACAACACGGAGGAAGGTTCTGCTCGCATGGCGTTTATTACGGGGCTAAGGAGATCGGTGGAACTGGTAGGTTAGTCGAGTGATCAATGGAGATTGGTGGACGGGTGGATCGGGTAACCCGACTCGTTGTTCCCGAAGAAGTCGGGCGTCAACTCAACGCCTTCTCAAGAGGGCTATCGCTGCTGATCAAATCGTTGAGAATAGCAGAGAGCAAAAGAGGTCTCGGGGAGGGGGGAGAGGAAGGACAGTGAAGGTTACCCCGGAGCTGAACCATCAGGTCCCGGAATTCGTGAACCCTTCCATCCCATTTAGAGCCATCCGCGAGGAGGTCGGCAATGCTTTGAGTAATCCCACTCTTGATCGTTTCCTGGATGGCTATCTATCGACGAGAATAAATTCACTGAACTAGCGGCGCTAATATCGCTAAAATTTAGCCATAAAAGGCGTACCTACTGCCAGGATTATCAGGTCCACAAAGATGACACCAACTATAATCGGTGTATACGCAGGGCATATGCGAGAGCTGCTCTTGGGGCACGAGCCAAGAGGAGAGAGGTAACTGCTAAAGGTGTGAATCTCAATATTGAATATTGAGATTCACAGAATTTTGAATATTCTTGTGGCGAAAAGTGATGATGGAAAAATCGCATATCACGAAGTTCACTGGATTTCCAGTGTCAAACTTGAAGGTCGAACATGCGTGCATAATGTCAAACTTGTGTTGTATGATGTCAAACATTGTAGTAATATATTTGCCACTGTGGATCTCGACTGTTATACGATGGGATGGTGACAAGCTTGACAGTGTTACAAGGAAGTTTGACTTGAGTCGAGTCAAACTCGTTTGTGACGGTGTCATCCTCATCTGCTCATTCTTCAAAATTGCACGGGTAAACTCTACTCCTGCAAGATGCACCGCTACAGATGTAGATATTCACAAGATGTAAATTACACCGTGTAATGGTTCTTCAAGAGACACCGTTGTATCAAAACGGCGTCTTTTGGTGAGAGAGTTTGCCAGCGGGAGGATCATTATGGAGCTGACTTGCGGATTCCACTCCAATGTATCGCAGGAGTCGTGTTTCCAAGTCTAGATCGTATGCCAACTCCCGCTGCCAGTGAGGTCACGGTCTGCAATGCAGCAGATGCAGAGGAGAACCTCGCGAGAAGTGACGACGACGATGATGAATGTTTGTCTGAAGACAATTGTGAGAGCGACAGTAAAGCACTCTGGAACTCTGCGACCTGAGCACTGAGAAGTGTGCTTCAGAATCAGCCCAGGAGAGTGATGATGATAATGATGAGGATGATGATGCTCACACGGAGCAACTGGTCGAGGTAGCCGAAACACGAAATGAGGAGCAGAAGACAGGGTTAAACGAAGTTGAGGAGACAGCCACGCATGAAAACCGCGTCGAAGTCGATAAGAGTGAAGAAGTCGCCGAGGAAGTGCGTCGCTCGATGTGGGAAGCCGCATGAAGCAACTTGTCCGCGATCGACTGATTTTTTTGCAGAGCTGCAATATCGTTTCGGCGCGAGAGACGCATGGCCGCTCGGCAATCCAGCTTGCAGGTCATCGCTATAGTCTTGGTCGACAAGTTCAACAGAGCCTACAGAATTGGCCTCATCTTTTTGCTGGTGAGTTTAGGATTATGAGCTCCTCGGCCATGCTACTCCGACAAGGATTTTCCTCAAGACGCCATGGAATTCTGACAGGTGCTCCTCGCCTTCGTTTGTGGTATACAGTGTTATGCACAATTCATCGTACCAGTACCGCCTACAGCTGATGAGCTGGATACTCTTGCTCCCGAGACACTTACTAAGCCCAATGAGACACGCTATGAAGTAACAGCTGTTGGAGTGGTGGAATCAATCATACTTGGGTCCATTGGGCTCATCTCGCTGGCTCGAGCAGCGATGGTGGTGCGAAAATTGTGTATAAGTGACGAAACTAAGCTGAGTATTGTGAGGAGTGAGCTGGCTGAAGAGAATCAGGCGCGTAACCAAGATATGTCTGAACGTAGCCTCATAAACCGGGTTGCCCTCTCCGCGGTTGCCTCGAAGAAGAAGGTCGAACTGACCGGGCGTTTGTTCTGGCACGGTTTTTTCACGCTCGAGGCCTTGGATACTGTTCTGCAAATTATTCGTCTGGTTGAACTGGGCGGCCGTTCTTTCACGGGGGAGAGAGTTATTGTGGCGGACCGTACAGCTATCATGACCCAGGCTACCCTGATAATGTTGGTGTTCGTTGTTGGTCCCACGACACTCATACTCAACAACCGAGTCTGGGCTGCTCTGTTCGACACCATCGTCGCCTTCAGCTTCACGGCTGCTTATCTTATTATATCTGGTCGCATATTCCTGCCTGACACTTGGCCAGACTTGCGCTTCGAGACGTTCGTCTCCTTCCTCTCGAGTCTCGTCCCCGCTATTTTATCACTAGATAACGTGATAGGCGTAGATCGTTACCTGTACGAGATTGCTAAGAATCCAGAGCTAACTCGCGGTCGTAAGCGGA